TATTTTTCTAAATTTTATGGTCGTAAATATTTCTAAGACTCTTTTTTTATTTAAAAGTCAAACGAATTTACTATGCCATGTCCAATTTCAACTTTTAATTTTTCAAAACATATCTGGAATGATGTTAAAAAAAATGTGCCCGACCGTCTGTTTCATTTAAAACTTCTCCGAAAATAGTGCAATTACGGCACACAGATTGAATTGCATTTAATTATACAGAGAAGTTGTGTTGTCTACCAGGAGCTGTGCCGCGGTAGCAAAACAAGACAGAGCATGCGGGCTATTAAATCAATGATGAATTATTATGGTAATGCGAATTATCGATTCAGTGGTGGCGGCGGCGGCGAACAATAATACAATGGATGCTTGAACACAAGATGGATCTATATCCCTTTGGTTCGGCGAGCTCATGCCGAGGCAGCACCACCACTTGACCATAGAACGGTTGCTGCCTCTTTATTGGGAGACCCTCACCAAGGTCAATGAAATTAGCATGTCGCGTGAGGCGCAATCGGATAAAGCTGAGGAAAAAAACAAGCAGCGGTCAGAGTCAGTAGAGGCAGAAAACTTAGCAGACGGGCGAATAACATTTTCATGAGACGGTGCAAGGTGGCGCCGTATCTGATCTTTTTTAATTTTAAAAATTTACTTGCTGCCGCCTGACAGGCGAATTATTTTACTTTTATGACGAGCACTGCGGATATAAAATAGTGAAATTATATTACTAAAAATTAAAAATAAGAGTTTCAATTAATTACATAAGTCCTTTCTAAAATCAGCTATAAATACTTAATTGATTGAAAATACTGATATTTATTGTTCTTTTTAATTTTATATGCTTTTTTCAGTTCTTTGTTTTTAGCTTCTTGTAAAGCGGTTCTAAAACTGATTTTAATTAAGAATAAAAAAAAATAATAAAATAAATAAATTTATTACACTGTGAATTTCTTTAGTAATTTTTTACAGTCGTAAATTTGTCTTAATGGAAGTCACTATTACAATTTCTCTTGAAAGTTCACAAAAAGCAGGCGTATTTATGTATAATTCATCACGTGAGTCCAACGCAGTGCAAGGCATTTTAAGTTGACTCCGCTGCCGCCGAGTCTTGTGACTATCAAATTCATTTGCATGACAATAAAGTACCGGCCCGCACCACCCCTGGTGCCGCTTCTGTTGAAACTAGAGCAAAGTTCAGCGCCCGTAGTTAATCGGTGGAACAAATCTCATGAAAGTCAATCAATCGCCCAAAATATCCATAGATCAACCCCATTTAGCAACGTCCTTCCTGGTTCTATACCCAACCGGGGCCTGTCCTATTTGGCACCGGGCCGCGCTTTGCAGATCTCTTTTTACTCTTCTTTTTTCGCAATTTGTAGCACGAGAAGTGTTTTAGCTGGTAGTGGTGGAAAAGAGTGCGTCTCTCGAGTGCTTGCCAAGAATGGTACAGAAACAGAAACATTTCTTCTTCTCATTTCAAAATGAGCATTTCGCTCTCGGACGAGAAAAATATCACTATTTTTTATTGTTCTTTACATGCAATCAAGTCCCGCCGAGCAATTCAGAGGCTCTGTTTTTATTTTCTTTTTTGTGAAGGTCGTGTGTTTATCGATTATCATACAACTTCATGTGGAAATATCTTAAGTGCGCGTTTTGTCCCTAGAGTCGTAAAACAGGAGCAAAACGTTCATTGCAGTGGCGTGAATTTTTCCGTTGACTCAAATTATGCAGAGAGGAAGTCGTGCTCATGTCACGGCTATGCGTGCAAATAACTGCCACGCCAAGAACTGAAAATTTACGACTTTTTGTTTTCCAGCATTGCGAAATTTCCACATAATTACGTTAATAATAATTTTCCTCGTCCTTGTTTTTTAAATCATAATGATTGAAACTTGTTTCAGTTAAATTTCTACCAATTCCATACCTTTGATTAATGGACTAATTAATTTTGCTTAAGTGAATGATTAACTTTTCCTTTCAAACTTTCATAATTTAAAAGGTTGTAAAAAAACCCATATAACTGCATAAATTTCTTTATTATTCCTAGAATATATATATAATTATATTTTTCAGAAAGGTTTACCACAAAAATAATATTTTGCAAAATCTGCTGACATGTGGTTCCTAAACAAACTCTACCAAAGTTCAAAAGCCTCACTAATTCAAATGTTTATATGATCGCCTTCCTAGAACCGACGCGGAAAGAAGTTTGATACACAGCTGATGAAAAGTCTCGAAATAACAAGTTTCGCCTCGGTTTTTACTAATTATACCCATTACTAATCACCCTTGAGAGAAATAAACTTGATGTCAATGTCATCGCGTAAATAAAGAGCCCATAATGAATTGTGTGTGTGTTCTGAAAACCATGTTTTGGAGGCTGCCGTCCACATTTGCACTTACTTAAAACACTTCTAAGGTATGGTTTTTTTACTTGTATATTCTTGGATGATGTGAATTACAAAATAATGAACACTTGCGAAAAATTTCAAAGGGGAAATGCAGTATTTTTTTCTCCAAAGAAATCTTTTATTCGAAAGAGTGCAAAATTGAGCATAACAATCATTTCAGTCCTTATTTACATGCATGTATTGTTTGTAAAGACTTCGCAATAAGCAAACGCATTTGTCAACGTGACTGATCCAAAACGAGCTGCAGCACGTGCGGAGAAAGTGAAGAAGCTCTCCAATCGACTTTAAATCTATTTGCGGCCCTTGCGAATCCCGAGCCTCCTCCTTTTGCTCCACAGTGTGATCCCTATAATAAAAAAGCAAGACTAACAAGCAAAATAAATCCCGTTTCAAAATCACTTCTTAGAAGAATAACAAAAAAACCTTGTTTATTTTTTATTCTTAATTTATGTAAATCACAAGCCAAATTACCGGCCGGGTTTCTAGATTTTTGTGGGTAGAACTTGGCCTTGAACTAAACTGCTCCTTTTTACTTGGTCCATCTATTTTGGGCTTCTGTTTTAATCTTGATCGTCTGAGAATTTTCAAACACCCAGCATAACGCGATTTTTAAACAGAAAAAAATTGAAGCGCTTTGATTTGGTTTTAATGCACTTTTCTTGATCAAAAATAAATCTTCAGGGTTATTGATAATAGCATTTTACATTTTTTTTATTATTATGAATAATAAACTATTATTATAGTAGCACGGTAGCATAAATTTTATATTAAATTACATTAATTCGCCGCTGATTTCCTCAGCTGATGCGGAAGCGGTAGAAACTTGGAAAAGTCATCGAACGCAAAAAAAATGTGTGTCTGCCAGTTGACACACTTTTTGAGAGCTTTATATGAAGTATTTTATTTCCTTGTTTTTTTACTCATTTCTCATTAAGATACAAATCGCTTGTTACGCGATAACAATAGAGAGCACAGTTGCTGCGTGGGCGCAAAAATTGATTATTTGCGCCGACATTCGGAAAAAGCGCACATGCACGGAAGGAGAAACGTGACCGGGAAATATATGTCAGTAGCAGAGATCGTTGTCGATGAGCAGCAAAAACAAAACTATAATCGACATCACTTTCGCAAATGGATAACAAAAAAGGTGCAAAAGAATGCCCTTCGATTTGCATGAAAAGAAAAGCGCCATTGTTTTCTCGCTCACATTATTGTGCAAATAAAAATTCCAACTACATATTATCGGCAGCACTTCGAAATGCATTATGCTCAGTTCATCATTTTCCTCTGCTACGTGTTGCGAGGAGGTCAACGACCTGTTATATTCTCTTTATCTCTCATCATCCAGCAAGAGAGGTTAAACGAATGCATTTTAACACGCACCTCGGCTAATTTGCAGACTAAATTTAGCGCACAGCGAGTCGAACTTTATGAATATTTGATGCGACTTGTTTACAAACTGCGGTGACTGCTGACGAGTGAAAAGCTCTGGAAAAAATAAACTTTTTACGCACATGCTTTTTGTCAATATTTATATGCGAGCAAATATGGGTCAAAACCTTCTTGATTAAAGCTTATTGACATAATTTCTCTTTCGATCGATTCGCTTGTTTGTCCACCTGTGCTGCTCGTTCGGAGCAAAGAAGTATAGCAGAGACTAGTGCGTCTTGTTTGTTGGCGCCTAGATAGACCATGTTAATCTCCTTGTCGTCGTTTGTGGCTTCTGTTCAAGGAGGCTAATTGCAAAACTCATCAGTGTTTGTTTTGTCTGGGCCACACTCATCTTTAATCTTTAGGCTTCAAAGTTATTAGCTGAAGGGTTTTTGGCAAACAAGCTTTAAATCCGGGAGTAGCTTGCTCGCCATTTCCTATTTCTGCATATTTGCATTGTCCTTGAAATTGAACTTGCTCAAGTTTCAGCTAAAATAAAATGCTGAACAAAATATTAATACAATCTGTTAGGTTAAAAAAACACACAAACAGAACCGATTGTGTGATAATATATTTATAAAGAAATATTTAATATCACCAAAATCTATAAATTTTTAACAAGATAAAAATAACAAAGTGTTGAAAACGGGTTTGTAAAATTTCTTCACTATAAAATATAACTTTCTTATTGAAAAGAAGTCAAACTTTTGAAAAATAAGCGCAAATCTTTTTATAATTTATTTGATCCAAAGAAAAGAATTTTTTGCAACTCTAAATAAATAATATTTCCCCCCCCCCCCTCAAAACCCTCAAGTTTTAACGCTTTAAAATGTAAAGTAAAAAAAGTGACAAATTAATAATTTTTATGATCAAAAATAAAATCAATAAAATATTAATTATCTCTTAACAGTAATTAAATATTAACAAAAATCTAGGCGTTCTCAATTTCAACCATTCAACTGCGTTATCGAATATCTCATATTGAATTTTCTGACAATGAGAGAATTTAATTAATTAGAATAAAAAAATAAAAACATCAAAATCAGTTCTCGTCCTCCAAAGTTGGTTTTTAATATAATGTAACCCTTTTCTCTTCCATTTGTCTCTCTCGATCTGAAAAATAAAGAAAATTTCAAATAATTGTGTGTGTGTGTGTTTCAGGCCTGACGAAGGCGCGGTGCCGAGCACGGGAGCGCACGACGCGCACTCGGCGCACCGTCATTCGACGGTGAGCAAAAGGGCCCGTCTCAGTTTTGGCCGACGTCTGTTGTCGCGGCTCCGAGTTGAAAAAATCGAGGGTGGTCTCATGGTGGCCGGCGTGTTGGTGGCCGCCAACTGCAGGGTGGCCCTGCCCGTGTTTGGCTTCCTCTTCCTGCTGGCCGGCGCCGTTCTCACAGCGGCCGCCTACCGCGGCCAGGAGAGTGACGAGGAGGCCACAACCTATGTTGAACGCGTTGAAATGACTGAAAATTCACGTGTCCTGGGTCCTGCCTGTCTTGTTGTAGGAGGACTCATGCTCTTAGCGGGTGTCTTTTTGTGCACTTTGACTCGCAGGTAATTTTATATTTGCAATGCTATTAAAATTTTATTTTTTATGTGTTTAAAAAAATGCTAATTTTTCCATGTCCTTTTTTAGAGCACAGCGTCAGGAACGTCAGCGCCGCGTGGGCTTCCACTGCCCCATCCACGGCGACTTCTACCCCGCAAACTTGAAAGACTCGGATCTGATTGCGGACGACGATGAAGAGAGCACCTGGTCATGTTGGAGACACCGCAGTAGAGAGGATGATGAAGAGGCTCTTGGCCCTCGCCTGAGGGCGGACAGCGTCATCAACCCTCAACAGGCGCCCTTGTGTCCACATAGCTCGCACACCAGTGCCCGAAGCAGCCTTTGCTCGCCGTGGACGAACAACCAGCCGACAAGCAAGGAAGTTGTGGTCACAGCTAGTCCTTGCCCCACACCACAACCCTTTCTGGTGCCATCAGGTTCAATCAGGTTAGCAGAAGATGAATATTAAAATAACAACGCTCCAATGTATTTTAAATTTAATTTTCTTCATTTTTTCCTGCAAACTAGTTCACGATGAAAAATAATATTTTTTTATTTTTGTTTTACTTTCTTATCAATTTCTGAATTTTTTAAAGAGAAAAATGAAATTTTATTTTATATTTGCAACTTGTTACAAGAAATTTTAGCTTATACTTTTGGTAGGTTATTCTAATTTATAGTTAATTTATTTCAGAGAGAAAAAATATAAGTGGTAGTTCATGAGGATTGACGATATTATAATTATTGCATTGAGTTAGGAAGGGAATTGTTTTATGGTATCAAATATTCACCTACATTTGAAGCGCGCACGAAACATTCCAAAAATAGTCCCCTTAAAAACCAATAAAACAAGTAATTGCCGTGCGCCACGGAAATTTCAGGTGTTTGCTTTATTAACAATGTATTGTTTTCCCCCTGCTGAAAACGCACGAAAAGTATTGGATTTCTATATTTCTTACAAAAATTATATCATATTAAAGACGATTGATTTTCTGTGTTTTGCTGCAGCAGTGGATTGGTTCCGACGGCCCGACTTTCTCCGGATCAGACTTTTGGCTCCATCAGGTCGCTGAGCATCACAAGAGAAGTCGCCAGTTTTCCAATGTCACGCACACCATCGCCTCCACCACCAAGGGCAGCTCTTGAAAGGTGATATCTTTATGCACACAAATATTGACACACTCTAGCGCTTACACTGTTAGGAAAAATTTGTGCAAACTGCAATGGAATTCAAAAGGATCCTTCAGCTTTAACTTTGTATATCTAATCATGCAATTAATTATATCAAAATCCAAACAAAAGATCTATAAAAATGAAATGAGTGAAGTGATCTGTGATTTTTAACATTTAATTTATTTGATTTATTGAATATTATACTTGATCTTTTTTTTACGACTAACACAATAAGAATAAATCTCTCTATTTAATTTTTGAAAAAATTAACAGCAGTTATTTTTATAGGTGTATAATGGCTGAGATTGCCTCCCCGACAACCGTGCCAGCCATTCCACCCCCAAGGCCCCCACCCCCAACCATCCGAATGGTGGCTCCTGCTAGCGAATCTTCAGTAGGATGACCAGCTCGCGTTGGCACCCTGACTAGGCCGCGTCCGCAACAGTCCTAGCTAATGGTGGTGCAGGTGCACCGGACAAAACACTTGGGACATCGGGTGTAAGTTGTAGTGTCTGGTGTGTGATTTTTTTTAACCGCAGTGATTTAAACAAAGACTGCCTTCGTCCTTTGCTCGAACGAACAGTGAGAAAAAAATCCCTTTTGGATTTTAGCTGGATATAAGGAAGTGAGAAAGAGAAAAATTACCTCGTAATTGTGAATAAACTTGTTGCCGAAACTCGGCAACATTTTTAACTTTTAGGTTTCATTTTAAGCAATTTTATCATACAAATGAGTCGATCTAAAAAGTGACCTATTGTATTTTCTTTTCAATTTTCCCATGCTTGAAGATAATCCTTTTTGTAAAAATTAAAATGCTTTAGAGCCAGGGCATCAAAATGTTGCTTAACTGTTTGATGAGCAATGACTAAATAAAAATGAGTGCATGGTAGTTAAATGAGGTAGATTTTACATTGAGAAGGAGGCAAATGATCGAACAAGTTCTAAACTGCTGTTTAATATCAAATATATAAAAATCAATCCCCCTCTGTCTAGTGAGCCTTTACTTATTGTTAGCTTGTAAAAAGTTGATGTGATAAAAGCAGAAACAAGTTCTCCAAAAATCATAAGATTAAATCTTTTAGAAGAAAACATGGTAAAAATGAGAAAAGAAGAATATAAAAGAATATTGCTTAATGTAAAATTGCTGTCAATAAAATATGAAACAAAATTGTGTAGTTTCTATGGCATGATTCCTACACAACAAAAATTTCAATACTTTTAGCAATAATCAAGAGCTTTGTTTTATTAATGTTTCACATAGGCACTTTTAATGCAAAGCTTCGACAACATTTACACAGATATAAATTGTCATTCCTTACTTAACATCAAAAACTTCTCCTTACAATTTACGCAGAGGAAGAACAATCAGAAATAGGAAACTCATCTGAAATCTGACTAAATAGTGGTAAAAAAATCATAAGCTCGGCCAAAATCAACCATCCATGGCACACCTTAAAAAAGGTAGGGGTTGTCCAGAGTTGAATGTTTCCAACACTTAAAAATAAATGCCTATCAAGTTTTCTCTGACAATGTTTTGCTAGATATGGACTACTCTACGCTCCATGAACTGACCTGCAGTTTTTTTTTTTCGAAAGCTACACACCTAAGAGGCATAATTATATTAATTATTACAACACATAAAATAGAGAATGCAGGCTAGTATCTAGAGGATAAGTGAGCTTTTAGCATGAGTTACGCGTCGGGTCCATTTTCTTCTGGCTTCAGCTTGATGATCTCAGATGGGGCAAAAATTCCCTTTTCAGTGATGACTCCTGTTATCAGTTCAGCTGGCGTTACGTCAAAGGCAGGATTCCATACTGATATTCCTGTAAAAATCACATTTTCATCAGTCAAATTTATATGGAACTCATATTTTGTATGAAACCAACCTGATGCTGCTATCCTATGTTCGCCAATGCAGGTCATCTCACAATCAGGTCGCTCTTCGATAACAATGTGTTCTCCGCTAGGAATCTTGAAGTCGATAGATGTGAAGGGGGCGGCAACGTAGAAAGGCACAGAGTGGTGACGGGCAATCACAGCAATCTGCCAAAATGAATTGCAAAAATTTTAAATTTTGAACCAATATTATATTTTTAATTAAAAATATTAGACTAATTAATTAGGTTTGGATCAACTACCAACCTGGTAGGTGCCAATCTTGTTGGCTGTGTCTCCGTTAGCAACAACTCTGTCCGCGCCCACTACAACAGCAGTGATGGTTCTTGCCCTCATTAGGGCGGCTACCATGCTATCACAGATCAGGGTGGCTGGGATCCGTTCGTGCACTAGTTCAAAGGCGGTAAGTCGGGCGCCTTGGTTGTAAGGCCGTGTTTCAGTGCAGTAAACATGATCTGCAAAATGATGGAAAGGAAATCGTGAATTTACAAAAAAGTGTGACATATATATTTTAAAATTAAAATATAAGATTGCAAAAAAATCAAGCAAGTGAAATTTTAAATACTTCGGCATTGTGAAATCATATAAATTCAACCACGTTTAGTAAAATTAATCAAAAAAAGAATTTCTTTGATTGACTCTGTTGAAACTTATCTAACTGATCTCCCCTTTTGTTTTATGGTTATTTTAGTAATCAAGATTATTTAGAAAAATTCAATAGTCAAAAATTATACCTCATGCATGTTTTAAAATGGCTTTGCAGAAAATAAGTTGGAATTTTTGAATAGCTTAAAAACAACAAACATTGGACAAGACAGATTTAAGAATAAAATGGTTAGTTGAGGAAACCATTCAAAAGTGTGTACCGAGTCGTTTCTCTGCGTGCAGAGACCTAACAACTCCAAGCGCTGTTCCATACCCAGCAGTGGCGAGCGAACCGGTGTTGCAGTGTGTGAGGATCCTCACATTCTTCTTGTCTCTAACCGTTTTTATTATGGCACTGGCCCCGTGTTTGCCAATGGCCATATTGTCTTCTATATCTTTGGCCAGCATAGATTCTATGTGGCTCAAAAACCTAAAAATAAATAAATTTCAGCTGAGAGAACTTAATTTCAATAAGTTATTACATACTGTTCTTTCATTTGCTCGGCTGAGACTTCTTCGTTTTTGCTCAGTTGGTTGGCCAGAGCTATTAGTTCTTCAGCTGCGATTTTCATGTTGACAGCAGTCGGTCTAGCAGATACAAGATAATTCAGTTTGCCCTCGATTTCCTGCCTCAGGACCTTCTTATCGTGCAGCTCTTCGTTGATCATTTCCACGGCAAGACTTAGACAACCGACCATTGCGATCGCCGGGGCTCCTCGGACCTGAAAATTTGAGAGATATTAATAAATCTGCCGCATTAAAGGGTGTTCCAATTAAAAATTGCCTGCATCAAATGGATGGCCTGCCAGCCTTCCTCGACTCCATTGATGGCGATGTACTCGGACTTGGACGGCAGCAAAAGCTGGTCCAGAATTTCCAGCTTGCCGCTCTCGTACTTGATGGACTGCAGAGTTGCAGGCATTTTGGCAATCGAGTATATTATTTACAAGTCACTGAAAAACTAGCACGTGAAAATCCACGACAGAACTGAGAGGTGGGATGGGCAGCCGGCGGCCGACTTCATCATCGTCTCTTCTTTATCTTATCGCCGGCGGCAGCCAAGGGCCAGGTTGTAAATCGGCGCAGGTCTCTCTGTCCGATTAATCCGCACCAATGCGAATTTTTTCTCGCCAATGACGGAGATAACGTTCGGTAAATCACAGACACTTGCAGCACACCGGATCTAGAGCGAAAGGCGAGCCATGACTATCAGCAGCTCTGCCTTTTTTGGTGCTGACATCTCTCGTGGACAAGTCAAGCACTTGAAATTGGCCGAAATTTTTAAGCACTTTCGGAGCAAAAAAATCAATTGAATTAACCAAATATCTCTATTAAATTTTATCTCCTCAAGATCTTAATATCTCTCAGTAAAATTGTATGGTCTTTTTAGCTGTCATAAATCAAAATTATGTTGCAATATCTCTACGTTTTTTTCAATGTCCAGATTTGGCGCTATAAAATAGCAAACTTAAGGGGGCGTGGTCGGAAACTCGTCTCCTCCAATCAAAGGGCTGACATTGCAGCTGGTGAAGTTCAATACCTAAAATAACAACAAGGAGCCGGCATGGGAATTTAAATGATTTTTACATCCTTTTTATAACGAATTTGGATGTTATCAAAAATGCGCGTTGAATATATTTTAGCAAAAACTTTTGTAAGACAGAATTTTAAATCCTATCGACGCTTTTCGTCGTCAGGTCCTCCATGGTCTGTCGTGTTTTTCGGTTCTGATAACTTCGCTCTTTCTAGTCTGCAAATGCTCCATCAGGAATTGTATTTATGAAAAATATTCAAATATGTTTGTTTTTGTAATGAAGTTTTCTGTCAAATAGAATTTCCGGACATTACGTGAGAAATCTGTCCGTCGTATGCGCCTACATGAAATGCCCTGTCGCGCAATACAGCATCGAGAATAAATTGAACATCATCCCTTGGAAACCGCACATCGAGGATCTGCAGAGAGACAAACCAGAAATTGGACTCGTGGTCTCTTTTGGACACTTAATTCCTCAATCTATAATATCTGCATTTCCATTGTAAATTTAAAATTATTCAAACAAATTTCCTTTGAAACTGACTGAGTTAAATTTCAGAGGGATGGTGAACGTCCATGCAAGTATTTTACCACGGTGGAGAGGAGCTGCTCCCATAATTCACACGGTTTTAAATGGAGAGACTGAAAGTGGAGTCACGCTAATGAAAATAAGGCCACACAAGTAAGTTTGACATTCAAGGATTGGTTTTTTAATAACTTTTGTTTTACTTTCTAGGTTTGATTGTGGAGAAATCATAAACACGTCAAAAATTAGTGTGGGGGTTAGTGAAGATGCCGAAAGTTTGACTGCCAGACTAGCTCAACTTGGGGCTAAAGAGCTTCAGTTTTGCTTGAGAAATCTCACTTCTAGTTTGAGTCAAGCAACACCCCAGAAAGACTCTGGAGTAACTTACGGTAGTTTTATTATTACTCCAAATTCAACAAATACAAATTTCAACGATGGACAAAATCTCAAAAGCGATCTGCGATTGCAATCGCAATCACAATCGCGCCATTTTTTGAAAAGGTGATTTGAAAAGGTGGTTGATGCATGCGATCTTTTTTCGATAGCGGAAAAACAATTTTAATGCTTAATGTGGGAAAATTTATAGCTAAATCGGCCAAATCTGGAAGAAAAAGGGTCCATTTAAGATATTTTGATATAATTATTAAAAGACTTATTAACTTTTCATTCATGAAGTTCATTTTTGTTAGGACTGCTCTTTGTTTTCTTTGTTCTGAAACCAGAAAAAAAACCTTCAGAAATGTGTTTTTTTTTTTCATTTATTTGATCGCTAAAAATCGCAAAATTTGATAGCAATCGCAATTGCACAAAATTTGAGATGGCGTCTATCCTTGCCAAATTTTAATTAAAATGTATGCATATTTAATATTAAATTGATAGAACATGTATATAAACCGATTTAATATTTGGTGGGTTTTTGCAGCCCCAAAGGTGAGCCCCATCATGTCAGCATGTGTTTGGACTGAATTAAGCGCTGCTCAGCTTCATCACCGGCACTTGGCCCTGCACCACGTGCACCCGCTCCACGCCGACTGGCACGGCCAGCAAATCAAGTTTTTGGACTGCGTCCCTTGTGAAAGGTCAACGGACTCAGCACCAGGTTTGATAAGTTTTTCTAAAAAGTCGAAACATCTCGAAGTGGCGTGCAATGAAAATAGTGTTTTGGCGATCAAGAGTTTACAATTGAAAGGCAAAAAGATGATGACGGCAATGGATTTTGTGAATGGGTTTTTGAAAAGAGTGCCGAGAGACTTATGGAAATTCGGAAACGGTGACGTTAGTTAAAAATCAAATAAAAAAAACCATTGTTATAGTTGAAATGTAACAAACACGCTTTATTATAATTATTAATTTAAAAAGCCTTGATTAAAAACAGTATGGGTACTAGCATTAGAGGTTGAGACATAGGAATTCCCGATCCCTGTTTGTATTGCAGTTTTCGGCCGTTAACTTGCTGAAGAGGTCTCTTGTTTTCAGCCACCATTGCATCTGCAATACCCTTTACCTTCTGAAATTCTTTTAACTGGAAAGCAACTTTTTTTTAGCAAATTTTAGTTAGTTTTTTAAAACATGAACTACCTGATTTTGTCCAATTGGTAGGGGGTTTGCCATGATGATCCAGATCACATTTTCCGAGCAAGGGGGGTTGGTCACGGAACCCATGTAAGTGTAATAGGTCTCTTTAGTGCAGCCGCAATCCGAGTTAATATATTTTCGGAGCCAGTTCATATACCTTCCGCTAGGAAGATCTTGGGTAGATCCGCCAGTGGTAACACTTTTTAAATTACTAACTACCGGATCCAAGTCGCTCAAATTTGATTTCAGGTTTATCTATAAATTAAGGATTTTAATTTAAATTTGAGAAAAACGCAATAAATTGATTGATACCCCAAACATGATGGAAACAATTGCCAAACCGTCCGGTTGGTTCAAAGCTGCATCTATACTTACGGCCGATTTTTTGAAGTGCACTAATTGCGCTTCCAATCCATAACTAAAATCAAATCAATTTAATTTAACAATTAAATGCAAAATAATTGCTCACAAATATTTATCAATGGAATGTTCACTTCCGAGCTCATTTCCCCACTTGAAAATCACATAGGATAAAACATAATCCGATGCCAGTGGTCCTCCTCGGAGTCTGGCTTCTGATCCCGGGGGAAACATTAACTGAACTGCAATTTTATTTGTTAATGAAATCCAAATTTTCAACTTTCGAACAACTTGTCCCACCTCCTTGCCAATTGTTCATTAGTGTGCAAGAGCGCGCAGGGTCTATATAATCGGTCCAATTAAGTGGTGGAAAATCCATTTTGGTCGCCGAGCTGGTTGTAATGTCAATCGGGGATTGTTTTTGTCCGTTGCAGGAATCATACTTTTGTGCCCAAGTTAATGGTCCTTTACAAAAGGAAGAAATTAATACATTCGAGAAAAATCTAGAGAAAAAAAATGCTGCATATACCATTTTGACCAGAGTAGCTGTAATCGGGGGGCTGCAGTTGAGTTCCATATTGGGCAGAGACCACAGAGGCTTCAATATTAACAATTAATTAACGTAATAATTATTTGAATTTACTTACCGAAAAACAAAATTGTTATCAATTTAAGCTCCAAAGCAGGGATCATTGTGCTTTTGCTGCGTGAACTAGTTCGACTGACAAGAGTTTCCCAACTTGCCAGCAGTAATTTCTCAAAATCTGAAACCACACGCCCTGGTTTGTCGCCTGTCCGCCAAATGAGATCAAATGCGCGCAGAGCTTGTGAAAATCAATGAAGTCCTTTTAGTCTAAATGGAAATAATTATCTGCGTGACGTGCTCACTTCCGACTATACACAGATTTTACTTTTTATATCAAAGGGTAAAAACTTTTGGATCATAATCATTATAAAACACACGGGCAGAGAAATAAAATGAGTAAATTCTAAAACTTGATAAAATGAAAACAAATTTTATTTTTAGAACAATAAAACAAAAAGACAGTTGGTCATTTGAACGTGAAAATGAGAATTTGAACGATGCAAAAAACTGAAATGTTTGTGTAAAGTTTTGTTGCGCTCGAGTAGTTGCAGTAGTAAATGGGTCGTCCGTTTCTTAGTTGAACTGGGCGTCTGTTTTGAATCAGCGGCCCTTCTGGAGTCCGGACCTTTTGAAAGTCCCTTAGCTAGGAGAAGAAAAATTTGACGGAGATTAAAATGATTTTTGTTTCAATTTTATTAGGAAAAATTAAGGATCAATTTGAAATAGGAAAAATTAAATTTTAATCAAATTTGCTACGTTTGTTATTTTCTATGGTTTTAATTAATTCACACCTGTTTGATTCCAACGGTGCCAGGGTTTTCCAGAACAATGTAAGTAACGATTTCATTACACGGTGGGTGCGGAAGTGATCCGGAGTACGAGTAATAATGGTCAATGGTCTGGAAATTTTTAAGCCACATCATGGCGTCTCCGTAAAGTGGAATGCTCGAACCTGGGTTGCGAATTCCCGACAGCGCTCCGACCAGCGTGCTCATTCCCAAGTTATTCTTTTGCGAGATCTGTTAGGGAAAAAAGCAATTACCTGCATCATTAGCCAAAATTAATTGCGATGACAAAATGTGTAGTCACGTTTCATATATGCAACATGCTACGCTCGCGCGTTCAGCAGGTTGCATACCTCGCATGACCAACAATCGTAACTTCACGGTTGTCACACGGAAATGTGTTTAAATTTTAAGAACAAGTTTATCACTCCACGTACCGATAAAAACATTGCAACTATGGCGATTCCGTCTGATTCTTTGGTGGCGTTCACGTAACTGCCATAAAGTCGTTTGTAGTGGACCAAGTGCAATTCCATGCCAAAGCTAAAATCAGAAGAAAATTTATAATATTTTCTCATAATTTTTTTTAAATCATCCGAAAATAAAGTCTCTCTTTTTTCAATTATTGTTTATAATACTCAAGTCATGACAAAATAATTTAAGAAAATTTAAGGTAAAATACATATATTTTTTCTTCTTTAAATTTTGCTTACAAGTGCCTGTCTATGGAATGTAAGCTGCCCGAATCGTTTCCCCAGTAAAAGTTCACGTGCGACAGCAGAAAATCAGAAGGCAGCGGTCCCCCTCGCAGTCGCGGCTGACCTTCACCGACAAACTGGACTTGCACTGGAATTTTTTGATTAAATTTCTCTTCGGGAATATAAGTCAACATTCTACCTCCTTGATAGATGTTGGCCAAAACGAAACCGTTGTCCCGCACGTCCCAGTGGCCCTCCCATCGCAGCGGTGGGTACGAAACGCCAACCAAGGGTCCAATAGAAAGTTCAAGTGGCGACTGCATTTTCCCCGCACACTGCGGATTGCTCGATTGCCACGAGGTTGGACCTACAATAAATAAAACAGTTTTTTTAAATCTCTCAAAATATTTTTATATGGTAAATATTGGTTTTTGTGACAAGACTGTGTAGTTTGGGTCAAGATTTAATCTAAATTTTCAAGCAAAAATATTATTCATGGAAAAAATGAAGCAATTGAAGAAGCGATTAAACTTATTTCAGTAATATTTGTAATTGGTAAATTTAAAAAATTAAAATTTACTGGAATCTGTTTAATCATCTCAAATTAAATATAGAAAAAATAAATAAAGCAGCAGATCTGACTGCAAAATCTAAATCAAAACCAGGCTTATTATTTAGGACGATGCAAACACCGCGAACAAAATAAACCGATGCTTCTGTTTGACAGCCCAGGGCGATAAGGCACGTGGCATTAAGAGATTTACGTTTGTTAAAACAATAACAATGAATCGCTTTATTATGCAAGCGGGACGAGTGCGAAAAGCGTCGGATAATGCATTTGCACTCAATTCATTCATTTTGCGGTTTTGGACGCATAGATTCGCGTCGCCAGCAGGCAGAGTCAATTACTCGGCAAACATCAATATGAACCGAGCGGCACGAATTGTACGCATGTCTCGCGCGCTATCTGATGGTCAGAAATCACGCAACACACGGAGACAAAGCTTCTGTGATTTCGAGGGTGTCACCGCACACATTTGGGCCAATATTTTGATTCAAGGCTGTTTGGGGCGGGGGAGCGGCGAAGGCCGCCAATTAATACCCAAAATAATTGATTTATTCTACGCCCCGCTGCGGAAATTAGGCCACGGAGAGGGAAGGGGTGGGAATTATTATTTGCAGTCGGCGCCGCTAATGACTTTCGAGCGCGGCGAATTCGTGTTACACAAATGCTATCCCGTCGTTTAATCGTCACGATCTGTAATCCGACCTCCATGCAATTTGTAATATGTTTGCACTTGACGTGGTTTGTGATTGCATTTTGTTACACATGCGCAGATACTTTTTGCGTCTTTTCTCAAATCGAAAAATTAGCATAGTATTTGAATTAAAAATTTCCTTTATAAGGCACTGCGTCGTTTATTTCCCCTTACATAAAACCTCTACCAGAAAAAGTCAAATTTTAATTAAAATACCATGAATCCACCCTTGATCATGAAGTTCTTCCACTAAAGGAAATGAACTTAATGAATTTAATCTTTGGATGAAAGAAATCAAACTCTGGCGCTCACAAAATTTTAATGAAATGTGTTCAAATTAGAGTGCTGAGTGTCCTATTAAAATTTTGGATCGTAATTTGTGAATTTCGTAGTAGGGCCATTCCATTAGAAGACTCTCGAAAATTTTGATTGCTTATACTTCTCAGAAATCCTGATTGAAGGAAACACTCAAAAGGGTATATTTATTTAAATAAAGTTATCTAACCCTAATTTAACAAGTACGTAGTATGAGTTTTTACTTTGATGACTCATAAATTTTGATTACCCTAATAACAACATCATTTGAAAGAACCACTCTGAATAAAATAAAATTTTAATTAAAAGTTTCATAGAAATATTTATCTTTTTTTGAAGCTATCAAACCAAATTAGTATATTCGGCTTTTTGCTAAGTAGGAGATAAATTTATCCTCTAAGAACAATTTTAAATATCCTTCATTCATTATTTTGCAATATATTATTTCAAAAATGTTATGTTATAAATTAAAATATTTAATTAGGACATAATGCAAGTATGCAAAATAATTGTCAACTGAATATAAATAATAAATCGTCAATTTAGTTTTGGTGGTTTATTTGAGAAATCATTACCATTTCCTCCATTTAGCGCATATGAATAGTCAGCTGGAACGATCGGTGGACCAGGGTTGAACGGTGGCGCAAAGGGTTTGTTTGGATCAGGGCTTAAAGTGCCGCCAGGGTTATTGGGGTCAGGGGGTGGCACATCTGGCGGCGGCGGAATCGGATCCAACGGCTGCTGGGGTGGTTGTTCTTCTTGCCTCTGTAACTTCTGGGCGACTGCTGAGGCCAAATACAAATTTATTCTAACAATTAAAAGTAAAATTGAATTAATTAAAAACTAACCTAGCCCTGTGGCTAGATAAATCAGAAGAAAAACGCGTCTGCTAAGCATCCCCATAGCCAACCATGGCAAAAATCCAAACAGCCAACAGGCGCATGAATCACACCTGGAACACCTCGTATGACGAACTGACGACCATTTCGGTGTCCACTGTCATGAGCACCCCCTTATCAGTTTGTGGCATCTCAAAATCGACCGCCTGACGAAGGTCGTAATTATAAAAAATAGGCTATAACAACCCCGCCGCTAAATTGGGATAGGGTTGCTTGCTACACATAAATTAGTGTGAACGAACTCAAAAGAGACTTTTTGCATAGTAAAACTTATGATCTTTATTCAATTCTTTTTTAAATATATTTTATCATGATGGATAATTATTGCCTTGCGCAACTAGCAGAACAGACATTGTAATACTGTCAATTGCTGTCAATGAAAGGTGGTGAGAAGAATTTTGCTAATAGTCATAATACCCATTATAGGCATTTAAGGTTGATTGAAACAATGGGCGGCCTCTCAGCTCTTTAACCGGACGAATGTTTGAAGTGATTTTTCCCTCGTGGCTTTCCAGTTTTTTGAATTCCTCAATCTGAAAATGGTAGAAAATTTCAAGGTTGTAAAACTGCATGATAAAAAACCTGAAAGGCGTTATATTTTAATTATTTTTAATTGAAATGAATTGAAATTTCCGTGCAAGTATTAATAATATTTTTTCGCACTCATACCTGTCGTTCACCAATTACGACGGTGTCTTTCATTACAATCCAAGTGACAATTTCACTGCATGGCGGCGTGGTGAGCGACCCAGAATAAGTATAGTAGTTCTGTTTATCCTCGTAGGCCTCCAGCCACTCCATTGAATCTCCGTCGATTCGGGTCGAGCTGTCCCCTTCAATTATTTTTTCCAGCTCCGTCACGATTCCATTCAACTCTGGGTTGTTTCCTCTCGAGCTCTGCCAAATGCAATAAACCAATCAATATGTGCCCGACCGAGATGGCAAAACCTCTCACTTTGAAGAAAATTCCGACCACCGCGAGACCATCCGAATGACCCGCCGCTGCTTCGACTGAGCCGTATTTCTTGTTGTAGTGCACCAAATGCGCTTCCATTCCATAACTTTAATTTTTAATCAAATTTTATTAAAGAAATGAAAAATTTAAATATTCTAAAAATAGCAGTATTACTAATGGGTGTTTAATGAGTGTTCGCTTCCCTTCCGTGGGGAATTTCCCCAGTGAAAGTGAACTTGAGCCAGGACGTATTCGGAAGTCAAGGGCCCTCCACATATAAAAGGCGCTTCTCCGGTGTATTCAATTTCAGCTGTAAAATTGATGCCGCATTGCGTGTAAGTAAGAGAGTATTTTAGAAGATCAGCGCATTTTTATCATTTTTCAATTTTGAAGCAACAACAATAAATAAATTAATGCCTTCAGATTCTTTTAGGTGTTATTTAACTTTATTTCATTTGTTCTGTTTTCAATTTCAATTGATAGAATATATTAGGTAACCAAAGAAAAACACAAATAATTGAATTTTTCAAGATTATGTGTGAGACTGTGCTTTTTGTTAAACTTTTAGTAGTGCAGATTGGTGCTAATTTTAACTTTTATTATCAACTTGAGATATTGATATGTCCACATGTTATCTACTAATGATTCACTCAATTCACTGCCAATTTAGAATTATTATTATTATTGTTTATTTCCGGTTTATTCTATACCCAAGTCCGCCCAAGTCATTAAAAAAGACAATTTTGAGATAATTATGTAATTGAAAAAATGGGTACACCTAGCAGAGCTTTGCTAAACCGCCCAACGTCAAAAAGAAACACCACCGCGTTGAATCTTCACTATGGAGAGAAAAGGAAATGGCAAACTGATTGTTGTGAATTTAAAAAATCCATGTTGACTTACCATCATAAAAAAAAATGAAAGGTAGAGTATTTTATTTTTCTAGAATGCCGATCTTTTCATATTCGTTAAATCCAAGAGGTTAATGAACCATCAAAACAAATTAGCGGTTTTCTGCTTATCGCGCTTTTATTTATTTTTCCTTTTGTTTCATCCTGTCTCACTCACAATCAGTGAAATTCCCCCTCCCTTGAAGGCTGTAATTGTGAGCGTAAAATGAGTATAATATATTTTATTACAGAATATTGTTATTTTCCGTTTTCTATGCGTTTTTTGTCAGTTCCCAGCCATTATTATGTATTTACACCAGATATTTTAAAACTCACCTGAATGCCACGTATTTTTTAAGATAAACCCTCCCTGTCGGTCTTCCCAGTGGCCAAACCACTCGAGTGGCGGAAATTCCGTAGGAATACTTTCCTTGTCATCCAAACTAATGGGTGATTGCCATTTGCCATAAAAGCAGTCACCCTTCCACATTGGCGGTCCTTCAATTAAAGTTATTAAAAAAGACACGAAATAGTTGAAAAAAATCACAAATTTTTATCAAAATAATAATATGCGAATAATTCAGAAAAACGAGTGAAAGAGAATATATTTTTTTAATCTCCTTGTTAAAATGTTAGAATACATTTTACAATTTTAGTTCCCCGTTCTTAACTTTTAAGCATTTCATTTTTTTAAATTATTTTGATGTGTTTCATCTTTCAATCACAAGAGTAAAATCTTTCTCACCTAATTTTGATTGCATATTGTAGCTGTACTTTGTAGAGTTTGTGATAACTTTATCACTGTACACTGTTCCTTCAACCGTGTTCACTTCACATTCATAAAATAAGAAAAAATATTTAAAAAATTTGGCTGGTTTATGTGAACTTTAAAATCACTCTCAGAGCCTGCTAAGATGCACCAAGTTAAGAAAATTGGAATTAAACGCTTTCCTGCCATGACTATTTGCTGGCGATGCTGGTCGTTGTTTGTTTATTCTCCCGGACAATACGCGGTCTTAAATCGGTCTTTTATGTTTGCAATTACCACATGCAAATGTGTGGTAAACCACATTTCAGTCCTTTTTAAAGCTGCACACGGCTGAAGTGTTACTTACATTGCCAGATGAAGACACAGTTGAATCGAGAGCGAGACAAAAAAAAATAATTTTGTTACATTTAACTTCAGGTATTAGTCTATTTTAAAATATAGCAACTGCTATAGAAACAAAAAATTTAATTTTTTAAATATTCAGATATCCTTTTCAAGAAAACTTCCATTAATTGTGAATATTGTGATTGAACGTAAATATTTTAATTTTGGTTTTGATTTTTTGTATATTTAAAATTGTTTATACAGCCCTCTAGATATGGTTGCTTGCTCTATATAATTTGTGCGTTAACGAACTTGAGACTGTTTTTTACTTAAAACTTATAAACCTGAGATCTTTATTCAATTGCTTACATTTTATCATATGATAGATAATATTTCTATTTGCCTTGTGTGAAGAGGAGAACAAACAATAGATACATTCCGATAAGGCCACTCAAAGACGGTGCAAATCTAATAGAAGCAGAATTTCGAGAAAATCCATAGTTCGAGTGGAACACTTGACGGCCCTTGAGCTCCTGCACAGGCCGAACATTTGAAGTGATGTTTCCTTCGTGACCTTTTAGCTTTTTGAATTCCTCAATCTGAAATTTATAATAATAAGTATCTTGCTGTTTTCCAAATTCAAGAAAAAAGTCAAATATAAAGAGCGAAAACAAAAAATACCAAAAAATTATGACATTTGAAATCGAATTAATGTGTAATTCATTACGTAACAATATTATTTGTGACATTTAAGAAAAATTAAATTTTCTAACCAGTAATTATGATCATTACTTTTTCATACAAATGTAAATTGCACACCTGGCGTTCACCAATTAAGACGGGGTCTTTCATTACAATCCAAGTGACAATCTCACTGCATGGCGGCGTAGTGAGTGACCCGGAATACGTATAGTAGTTTTGCAAGTCCGCGTAGGCCTCCAGCCACTCCATTGCATCTCCATCGATTCGGGTCGAGCTGTCCCCTTCAATTATTTTTTCCAGCTCCGTCACGATTCCATTCAACTCTTGGTTGTTTCCTCTCGAGCTCTGCAAAATACAACAAAACAATCAATATGAACCCAACCGAAAATGCCAAAGTCCCTCACTTTGAAGAAAATTCCGACCACCGCGAGACCATCCAAATGACCGGCCGCTGCCTCAACTGAGCCAAACTCCGTGTTGTAGTGCACCAAATGCGCCTCCATTCCATAACTTTTGTTGTCAAATTAATCAAAATAAAATCAAAATATAGTTTAGAATTACAAATGGGTGTCCAGTGAATGTTCGCTTCCCTCCCGCGGGGAATTTCCCCAGTGAAAGTGAACTTGAGCCAAGACATATTCTGAAGTCAAGGGACCTCCTCTGATGAAAGGTGCTTCTCCAGTGTAAGCGATTTCAGCTGGGAAATTTTTGCATTTTTATAATCAAGATTTTACGCCTGCACAGAGCCATTATTATCATAATTTGAAGTTATAGCAATTAAAATTAAGATAAGATCCAAAATTAATAGCTTTTAATAGAGATTCTTAGAATTATCAATTAATTTAACAAGGATGTAGTTTGTTTTATTTTCAATTAGCCTCATTTCTTTTTCTGAAGTGCTCCTCAATCGACTGATAACACAATTAACAATAAAAGAACAAGATTAAAAATTTTGATCCAAAGAGCCGTCTGTCTGCTTATTTGTGACATTTTTAGTGCAGATTTAATCAATTTAATATATATGAGGATATCTTCCGAGGACATTGATGTGTCAGATAACTTGCCATTTTAAAAAATATGTAGGTAATTTTCGTAAACTTCGATATAAAAAAAAATATTAAATCTATTATTTATTCCGGAAATTTTAAGCAAAATGCAAGCTAGAGTTCATGAATAATCAAAGTTGCTGTTTTCCCTAACGTATCCTTTCCCTCTTGACTCGCACCGCAATGAACTTCTCTCCCTTTAAATTAGAATTCACACGCGTCACATTATTATATTTTTTTCCTTGAAACCGCTTAAAACAAAATTACGCAAACTATGACGGGTTGTTAACTTAATCTGCCATGCCAAATTTGCCCTTTTTGTGCTACTAGACTTAATTAACATGTATTTGAAGAGAAATAATGCGACTTAAAAATAAAATTAAATGATGTGTAAAGCAATTTGTGAATGCTGGAATTAGCTTTAAATTGAGAATAATATCTATTTTTGACGATTTTAATAAGTGAGTTGTTTGTGTCCTGCAGCTATGAATTGTACGTGTAAAATTCAAACTCACCAGAATGCCACGTGTTTCTCAAGATGAATCCTTCCTCTCGCTCATTCCAGTGGCCAGTCCACTCGAGTAGCGGAAATTCCGTAGGAATACTCTCCACGTCATCCAAATTAATTGGTGATTGCCGTTCACCGTAACACTGATCCTTCCACATTGGTGGTCCTTAATTCAAATAATTTTCAAAATAAAAAAATCAAATTGAGGATTAAAGATTCAAATAAATCACAATTTAACAGAGTCAAAAGTTTAAATTATTATAAATTCAGTTTCTTACATTATAGAAGCGATTTAAATTTTAATCCAATTAATTTCCTTTTTAAATATCATGCGCTTTTTACTTAAATTTTTTTTTTTTTATTGCAAAACTGTTCTGACGTGAGATGAAATTTAAAATGTTTCTTACCTGAATGAGATTGCATATTATAGTTATACATTGAAGAGTTCATAAGAACTTTGTCACTGTACGCGGTTCCCTCAGCCTTTTGCACTGAAAATGGAATGAAATTTTTTTAAACTTTGCGAGTGTATGAGAATTTTCTAAAGTACGTTCAAAGCCTGCTAACAGGACAAGGAAAATAGAAATTAGACGCAGTCCTGACATAGCAAAGCTAGTGATGCTGGCCGCAGTTTGCGTATTTTCACGGACAGTTCGCGGTCTTAAATCGGTCCCTTTTATCACTATCACTCCTCTATGATGTCCGCTTTCAAGTGTTGTGGTAGACCACATGGCAGTCCAGGCAGTTGTAAATCCTGCTTATCTTGAGCTGTAGACATAGACATTTGAAGTGCTATTTAATAAGCAATAGAGACGGTCGTATCGATAGGAAACTTAAATTCCAAATTATATTTTGAAACTCTAATCCACGATGAGCTCCTGTAGTCTTTCTTAAAGCCAGGACTTGTTCTCGTAGATTAGCAGAAAAGGGATTCTCTTCATTCCTCTCAATGTCTTAATATATTGGTTTTTCATCACCAAATGTTTGTTTTTTAATCATTGGTTATAGATCTATGCTTTTTGAGGCCACTGCTCTCAATTAGTTGCAAAGTGTCTTTATTGATTGTATCAGAAGGCAATTACTGCCCAGGTACATCATACATACATTCAAATAAAATTATCAATTATGTAAACGTGATTACGTAACAATATTTATTTAAGACTATACAAGATCCATTACATGCTACAGCATACAGCCAAATTATTCAAATTTTTTTTTGGGGCCAATTTTCCGCGATTTTCCTTTTTTTTTAACTATTTATATTGATGAGTATTTCTTTCTTAGTTTCAAAAAATATTTTAGAACGTTATTATTACAACCTTCTTCCTTTTGATAAGAAGCAGTCAATTCAAAATTATTTTATGAGCAATTAAAGTCGTGACTCAAGGCCAGGCCAGAGATTGAAGTTTATTACACGATTTACAAATTTACAAGCAGCCAATATAAAGTTGGCGATAATCGCATATTTACAACATCACATTTTGTTGTAAAACTTGTCAATAAGATGATCGTTTCTTGATTTGCACTATCAAAATCAACAATTCCCAGAGCAAAAGACTGTAAATTCTCCGAGTTGCTAGATTGATGTTCATTTTGCAATATTTTACAAATTTGCAAACAGCTTGATTAAATTTATGTGTATCCAGATTATCGCTATCGCGTATCCTTCACATTTATGTGTGAAATGAAACTTGTCAATGAGATTTATAGTTTTACACTAACGACCACAAAGACAACCAGAGCAAAGAATTTGCCGGCCGTTCGTAGGCTGTATTTCTCTCCTGAAGCTCAATATGGGCTTTCCGTCACTTCCCACAAGGTTTCGAAACTCAGCGACCTTGGTTAGAAGAAATTTTTAAAAAATTAACGCCATTAATAAATTTATTTTATTTGTACCTGAGCAGAGGAAATGGTCAGGGGTTTCTTCATCACTATCCAATTGACAACCTCGGGACATTGATTGGAGGTCAGCGAGCCGTGGTAGTTGTAAAAACATTGTTCCGAGAAACCTTTCTTCAAAGCAAAGTCAAGAGCGCCGTCCTGGAGCATGAAAGTATCTCCAGGAGCTCCTTGAACGTTGCCCACACCTTCCAAAATGCCTTCTAAATCCGCATTGTCTGTGGATGAAAGCTGAAATTTGTTATGTTATAATTGTGAATAATATAATCCATAAAATCAAACTAAAATAATTATTTATATTATGTCAATTATCAAACTCACCTCAAACATAACCGCCACAATAGCAAGTCCATCTTTGTGTCTGCGAGCTTCATCGAGTGTCCCATACTCTTTTTTTATGTAATTAAAATGCATCTCGAATGGCCCACTGAAATTAATTAAAAAGGGGTCTTCAGCGGTTCTTCATAGCAGCAAAAAAAAAAAAAATGTTTTTCAATTTTTGTATTTCAAGCTGTTTGTAAACTTTGATGTTAAATGCGTTGTTGATTCTTTAATGAGAATCATATTTTCTTGTCAGCCAAGCAGTGCATACAGAATCAAATAAAAAGCTAGTTTATCTGTAAAAGTTACTTGAACCAGTTTCCCTTCCCTTAGTTAGAAAAATTATAAAAAAAACATCTGCTAGCATCAAATTGTTACAATTTAAAAATTTTATAAATTATTAATTGAACTGATGTTGTCATAAACTTTCATATTTTTCAACACAACATAATTTGACCGCTGCCTCATATGGTTTTAGTCGGAAAAATTGCATCCCCTCAACCCACCCGTCTACCATTGACTTAGGTGTAATTCCCAAAATCAGCGGAATGAGAAATTAAGTTCAAATTAAATTAATTACAATACTCCGTCAATAGAATGGTCGCTGCCCTTAGCGTCAGTTTCTCCCCAGTGAAAGTGCGTATTCAGGTGAATGTAGTTATCGCACAGTGGTCCACCAGTAACGTAGGGCCGTACATCAGTGCGCGTGTACGTCACATCGACTAGTCAGAAAGATGAAATTGGTCAGAAAGATGAACCGAGAGGTTTCAATGCTAAAAATCCATACCTCTAGCACCTGTGTTAACCATCATAAGTGGCCCCGAGTGGAAAAACCATTTAAGGTCGCTTTTGAATTCGCCGTCTTCGCATCGCGTCGTGTCAATATCAATAGGCGCTTGGCGTTTGCCGGTGGTACAAAGATCTGAATTCAATTTTAAGTTTTAGTTATAAACGGTTATAAATTTTTTGTCAACGTTTTGTAGCAATATTGAATAAATTTTCAAACTGCCTACCTGGAAGGTCCTGTCTGGGGTGGAAGTTGGTCACCGAATTTGCATAAAAACCAAAGCAAGCTTCTGCTAAATGTGAGAATTCCTAGGATATAAAATATTGGAAACAGTTAGCATAAAAAGATTAGGGTGTGTTGAGCTACAATACCAAAATAATGAAGAGAGGTAGAATCGCTGGGAACACTTTGGCCATGATGACAAATCGAGGCGTTTGAGCTCCGAGTTTTCAAATTATTCTCTTATATACATCCGTGCCCTGAGTGATGTCGTCAAATTAATCAACGTATTGTTTTCATTCAAATTTTTAAAGAGAGACATTCAAAATAAATAATGCGTATCAAAGTTAGCGCAAAAATGTTTATGCACGTGTGTCTCACTGCCTATAGTTATCTGCCATAATTCAATCTGTTCCCTAGGGACAGTTTTTATTTATAAACAGCTTGATTATTCACCAGAGCTATCTTTTTAAAATTTATTCAGATTGTTAAAATATATAACATACCGACAGCAAACTGTGCGCTTCTATTTTTGTATTTTGGTTCATTGATTGTATAAAAAACAAATACATTTAAATTTTTGTAAAAAAATTCCTAAATTGATAAAATTATTATAATAATGTTTAGTGTTGTTATTTTAAAAGGCATAATTAGACCAATAATCATAGCCATATTAATAAAATTTTCTAGCGCAACAAAAGTTCCTATGTGTTTAAAAGTCCAAGGTAATAGATCTTTGCTTACTTTGTTAATTAGCTATAAAATAAATTGAGCTATTGATGATACAACACTTTTTCCTTTTGATGAGAAGCAGTTTAATTTAAATAACACAATCAGCAGTCTAAGTATTGACTCACTTTATGTCAAATTATTGTTTGATGGTAGTAAATAAATTCGCAAATGGGCAAGATTAAATTGTTGAATATCATATAATTATTTATTATAATAACACCGCATTTTGTTGCAAACCATCAATATGATCATTTCTTGTTGTTAAACGAATACCTCAAAGACAACCAGAGCAAATAACTCTCCTGCCGTTCAGAGGCTGTATTTCCATTCGGTTGCTTAAAATGGAAATGCCGTTTACATCTTTAACACCTCGGAACGCATTGACCTTGATGTTTGAAGGAAATTTTAGAATGAGCGCAATTATGTTTAAATTTAGTTTTACCTGTGCCGAAGAAATCGGAACTAATTTTTTCATCACTAAAATTTTGACCGACTTGGTGCACGGTGGTACTGGTTGACCTCCAGTCAGCGAGCCGAGATAGCTGTAAAAATGTTTTCTTGAGAAAACCTTCCTCACAGCAAAGTCAAGTGAGTCCGTCTCGAGGGTGGTAGAATCTCCAGCAGTTAATTGAACAGAATTTACACCATCCAGAATTCCACTTAAATCCGGGTTATCTGAGGTTGAGAGCTGAAATTTGTTTTATTTGTGAATAATATAGCCCAAGTAAAAATTATTGACATGATTTAACAATATCAGAACGCACTTTATACATGACCACCACCACAGCAACTCCATCGTTGTGCTCCAGGCCTTTTTCCAATGTGCTGTACTTTCTGTTTACGTAAACAAAATGTGTCTCAAGTGGCCCACTGAAAATTTATTTAATGAGGACCTTAAGCGGTGAACCAAAGCAAAGGAGCAGATGATATAAGATAATTTTAATGAATTAAAAATGATTATTTACCCCAAAATGTAAAAATATTGTTCTTGGTTGATGCAAAAAATTTAAATGGAAATAAAAGATGAAAGGGTTAAAACTAGCTGATTATTGTTAATATAGAACTAGATATAAATCCTTATGATCAAACCCTCAGAGGCACACAAAATTTAATTTTATATAATTACAAAACTCCGTTAATAGAATGCTCGCTGCCCTTTGTGTCAGTAGCTCCCCAGTGAAAGTGCGTATTCAGGTGATTGTATTCTTTAAGGCCCAGTGGTCCACCAGTAATGAAGGGCCGTTCATCAGTACGCATGTACGGCACTTGGACTGCCCAAAAAAAGTGAACTTGGTCAGGGAAACGTAATTTTCAAATTTTTAACATACCTGTGACACCTGTGTTAAGCATCTGAAGTGATCCTGAGTGGTTGTACCATCGAAAATCGCGGTTGAAATTCTTTTGCTTGCACCGTTTTGTGTTAATGTTTATTGGCGATAGATCAGTGTTGCATCGACCTTAATTAAATTTCGTATTTTTATTTTATTTTTTCGCAATAATTATTTATAATTAGTTTTCCATGATAGCAGTTAGCTAGGTTTAGAGAAACAACCTTAAAACAATTTTCAAACTCACCAGCTTGTCTTGTGTGATAGTTGGTTGTCGAGTTTGGATCAATACCAAGATTAGCTTCAGCTAAATATGTGAATGCCTGTATTTAAAATTAAATAATGTTTATTGTTTATAAAAGTTAAACATTGCATGAAAGCCTTAAAGAAGTAAATTATTGAGGTTTTTCTGTTACCATACCAAAAATGTGAAGAGCGATAGAAACATTTTTGTAATGATGACAAATCAAAGCGTTTGAGCTCTCTGAGGTTAAAAAATCCTCCTCTTTTATATACATTCTTGCTATGACTTGTTGGCATGCAAATGATAAAATAGGGACTTCCACAATATATTTAGCAAGATTATCGCTAAACTATTTATGCGCGTGCGTCTAAAAAATTCGCTTCAACAAAATGCAGTCTTTTCAGGCACATAACTTTTTCACAATTTTTGTGCATCACTGTTTATTAATTGAATAAAAAAGAAAAATAATCGTTTACCAAATTTTACATTTTTTTCCAATTTTTCATTTTATATTGAAAGGCCAATTATGCAGCAAATGTAGCAATATTTTTGGTAAGTATTTTTGCAGCCTTTTTAATCAGTATATCATAGTTACGCTTTGATAATTATGCAATATAAAATTTAAAGATGTGCCAATTTATCTTATCAAATATATTTGAAATAGAATCAGAGAACGACCTGTGATGCATCAATAAACATTAATTGAAACAACAATAAAAATTAAAAGCTGTAACTAGCAAGAAGGATGAAGAGAAACGCGGTTAACGTTTGAAAACGTAACGTCTATTAAGATTGAGATCCTCAAAAATGTTGAAAAATTATTAGGAAAATTTTGTTCGATGCATTTCATAAAAAAGCGTTGAATTAAAATTTTATTATTATTTATTCTTTAATTTCTATATATTTTGCTTGTGGTCCCCGTGAGCTTACTAGGCTATTTGGTTAGTCTCTTACCAAAATTCGAGCACCCTTTGCAGATTTGGTGGTGCGTGCATCCCCCCCCCCACCCCACTCCCTTGAGACCTTGCCACGAAGGACAGAATGAAACGCAGGCCATACAAGCTGAGTTCTTCCAGCTCATGGCTTGGAGGGAACATGGCAAACATCCTAGTCAAATTTTATAAAGTCGAAGAAAATAATTTCAATAATGGAAGTGAATTTGAATTAAAAGATAAAGAAACAGTTTTTAATAAATGTTTAAAAGAAAATATTTCAACGATTTTATTAGGGAACAAGGTGAAAAAAAATATTTTTATGCGGTTTTATGTAAAAGGTAATGAAATTATCAAGCAAAAAATTCATCCAATTTGTTTATTGCAAGAGATATTCACACAATCAGCCCTTAATTAACTCAAAATGCTGCTGCGTTTAATATTTTTTCTGCAAATTATCCCAAAATAGTTTTCACAATTCAGGATTGCGAATACATCCAGCAGCACATTTGACAGTTCTGGATTTCAGAGGCTGCACGTCTCGCCTGTAGGAAGTTTGCGTGTTGCCATCAGCGTTTATCAACGTCCTGAATTTAGCAACCTGTGTGTTTGCAAATAATTATAACATAAATTCATTTCGCCTTTGCAGTATTTTTTACTTGCTGTGCAGAGATCCCGAGTTTCTTTTTCATGACTATCCAATTGACCACCTCTAGGCAAGTGCCAGTAGTCAGTGAACCTGGGTAATTGAAATAGTAAAAGTTGGAAATCACGTCGTCCAACCAAGCCAGGGCGCCTCCATCGAGATCGACGCTGTCTTCTGGATTTGGGATGTTGCTTAGGTTATTTACGATTTCGTCCAACTTTGGATTGTCAGCATCTTGAATCTGCGGAAATGAGAGGAAGTTGGTCAGACAGTTTACTACGTAATTTGTAATTTTAAAATTAGCATTTGAGGGAGATTTCATGAATATCAAAACCTGTGGTTAAAAATGTTCACTTTTCATTGATACAAAACGCGACCTGCGATCCTTTAAAATCAGAAGATGTCTTGTTTCTGATTCTAGTTATTGAGAAATGAATGCAAGTAAATAAAAAATAAGAATAAATTGAGAATCTCAAAAATATTGTACCAGACCGAATGTTACCTTTTTTGGTCAGTTGTCCATTAATTTTTAATGAGGCTAAGCTCGGTTTCAATGTTACTGTTTATTTATTTTTTTTTCTTTTTAGACATCATTTGTGAAAAATAATCCAGAAGAGTGACCTGATTTTCTTTAATTCGTTATCTAGGCTTGATTTTGGAAAATTTAAATCCTGTTTGAAATCGCTCTTGATTTTAACCATCGCTCGTAACTCTCGTACGTTTAATGGAGTAGCTTTAAATACTCACAACAAACATGATACCAAAAACAGCCAAACCGTCCTCGTGATTTAACGCCTCTGTAAAATTGGTATATTCGGTTTTCCAGTGCACAAAGTGCGCCTCCAGAGCACCACTGATGAGGTCGCCAATTAAAATTTTATTGGTGAGAAAAACTCAATATATTACTAGTTGCCAAAAGTGGCGTGTTCAGTGCCTTGCGTGTTTGTTTCTCCCCAATGGAAGTGCGCTTGGGCCAGGGTGTACTCTGCAGACAAAGGACCACCTGAGATGACGGGCGTCACGCTTGGTTCAGGGAACGAAATTTGCGCCGTAGTCCCGGTGTTGATCATGACTAAGCCGAATGATTGGTAAATGGAGTGACCAAGGATCCTGAGTGCATTCATTGATTCACGGGTGCAGGTTGGAATGTCTATTGGTGACTGCCTGGTTCCAATATCGCATGCGCCACCTGATTTCAAAATGAATATATATATATATATATATATATATATATATATATATATATATATATATATATATATATATATATATATATATATATATATATATATATATATATATATATATATATATATATATATATATATATATATATACAAACCCTGCTCGTCCCGAAATTATGTTGGTACACTGTAGCCGTCAGAGCCATGGGGCCTTATGGCTCTGGGAGGTAGACATCTTTTTTTTGGCCAACATAACAGAGCTGATGAGCAGGGTTTGTATATATATATATATATATATATATATATATATATATATATATATATATATATATATATATATATATATATATATATATATATATATATATATAACAAAAATAAAAATCTGCGTGCTCTATTAAAAAATTTCTAATTAAGTAATTATGTAAGTTTAAGACAGTCTACAGGTACCATAATTTGGTAATTATTTTTATGCAAATTATAAACTCTATAGATGAGACTGAAAATATATTTGAATTGGTAAAAATAATTTCCTTAACAAATTAATATTTATGTCAATATAAATTTTAATTTCTGACTCCTCATCAATATAACCATATTTTAATAAAATTGTTTTATTTCTTAAATGAGATCCTGTACACAAAAATTTATTAAAAATAATGTACAGGTACAGGTTTGATATTAGTGCATTTCAATGTTTTATATAAAGTGTAATAATTACCTCCAGAAGCTTGTCCTTCTACAGCGCTCAAATCCGCCAAAGGCAGCTTTGTTAAATAATTCAATCCAATTTCAGGATCCACAATCCTAGCACAGTGGACCTGTACTCATTTTTTTTTTCATTAACGCCTCCAAAAAACGAAAGTCAACTTGCCTTTGCGGCCCAAAGTGCCAAAAGAATTGTCCAAGTTACAAACATCGCCGTGCCTGTCTCAAATATCACCAGAAATGCCGTGGGAAAAGTGAAAAATTCAACTTCCTGTGAGGCATTTATATACCATAACACCCTTCTCCTTTTGTTACTGGAAACACACAGAATAAAATTTCAAAGGACATGCGCGAGTAAATTTTTGATAAGAAATTAAATATTTTTATTTTTCACTCACTATTCTAAACCTTTTCAAGTTATAAACGCAGTTTAAATTGTTGTTGTTTTCATATTTGTTCAATTAATATAATCATATTGCTTACTACATCAAATAAAGGAAAGTAAAATAAATATTACATCAGACAAGGGCAAAATTTAAGTTTTATCTGTAAATTAAAACTCGGGGAAAATATAATAAAATTGGGTCATGCCTGCTGGAAACCAGCATCAATATAGGGCACGAGCCGTCAAATCCCCATACATTTATGAAAATAAAAGTTTTTCAATTTATTTTTGTTACTTTTATCTATATATAATATCTTCCATTAAAATTAGTTGTCGAGTGCGATTTAAATAAAAAAAATTATATTGTATTACAAAAATGTTAAACGTTTTTCTAATTATAAAAAAGTTGAATTTTTATTGAGAGCCATCAAGATGCGTGCTTATGGCATTACAGGAGGCTTGAAATTAGCATAATTTTTACTGTGTATCAATTAATTTCGCACTCATTTAATTTAAGCTCATCAACAAAGCAAACAGCAGTATTTAATTTTCAGCATGTGGAAATTTATGCACAATATTTTTATGCCGTTGGAGAACGTTTGTTGGCCAGAATTGGATTCCCCTCTCCAATGAACTGCAATCTGAGCTGCGCTACCTGTTAAAAAGAACCACGTCAGTTTTCCTTTCCCCCTTTGGTCTTAATTACTAGTGACTTTCACGCTGCCCGCGACAGCGGTGTATAAATTACCTGATATCTGCTTGCAGCCACTCGCTAAGTGCCATGAAACTATTATTGCACTCGCTTTGCCCTAAAAATAACGCAAAACACACCTTTTTTGAATCCCTAACTCTTGTTTTGTTTTTCATTTGGAAAGGAAATTGTTTTTAATTTCAAGTAAATTCCACAAAATTTAGAAGAAAATTATTTCAATCAATAAACCTTTCATTTTTTTTAATTTAAAAATTTAATGCATTCTAATTTTTCAAATTAAATTTAAAATGAGCTAATTGTAAGCTTCTCTCATTGTTTCATTTACATCAGCTTTAAGTTTAAGGATTATACTTGACCATTTTTATCTGTCTGAAATAGCTAATAAAAATAAGCTGCAACGAATGTTCTGTTTAGTCACATTTAAATATTCTGCCATTTTTATTTGAGTAAATCATATTAAAAATGATCAAATAAAGTGAACTTTGTAGAAAAGGTCATCACTTGTTAAAATTAAAACGCCAAAATAAAAAAAATAAAATGTTTTATGCTGGTTGTGAATTGAAATATTTACCTCAAAGGAATTAGCCATAATTCATAAACTGTGCTACATTTAGAAGAAATCATGATTTGTCTTCATAAATATGTGTATCAAAAACACATAAAAATAATTATTTAAATAGCTTATGTCAAACGGAATACAAACAGTCACTATTATTATGCATATAATACAATGCACTAATTTGAAGAAATGAAAAAAAAATAACCTCTAATCTTGTAGTTTGAGCCATAAAATTTTCAAATTATTTTAAGTGATTATTGGTATTTTCCAGACTAAAAATTGTAAATATTACCTAAGGCTATATTAGAGAATTAAAAACAAATCAGAGCTAATTTTTTTCAAATACTTTTTTATTTCTAGTTTTTTTTTAGTGGAAAAATCTTTTGTTGGAAGCAAAATTAATTTTTTATTTCAAACAATATGCTACATCTTTGCGCATATATTAAAAAGATGAAACGAATTGAAGCATTTACTAGACCACCTCTTCTTTTTTGATAGAGAAGCAAGCAAATTAAAATGCAATAAAAAATTTTTAAACCACCTTGCAATTAAAATTAAAAAATCACACGCTATTGCCAGTCTAAGTCTAGATTCACGGGTCAGATTGATGCTTATAATCATAATGCTACATAATACGATTCCAAACACGTCAGTTTTTAATAAGTGATTTTTAGATATTTGAGTAATATCTAGAATTTTTTGCCAAAAGTTGTCAACATTAATTCTTCTTCTACACTAAAGACCGCAACGACAACCAGAGCAAAGAACTTTCCGTCCGTTCAGAGGCTGTGGATCTCTTTTGTAGCTTAAAATGGGATTGCCGTTTGTGTCGACAACTTGTCGGAACAGAGCGACCTTGATCATATTTAAGAACGTCAAATAATAATAATAATTTGTTATTATATACCTGCGCAGAAGAAATTGGAACTGTTTTCTTCATCACTATCCAATTGACCGCCTCGGAACATGGAGTTGTGGTCAACGAGCCGGGATAGTTGTAAAAACACTGTTCTGAGAAAACCTCCTTCACGGCAAAGTCAAGAGCGTTGTTCTGGAGCGCGAAAACACTTCCAGAAGCTGCTTTGACGTTGTTCACTCCTTCCATAATGCCTGATAAATCCGGATTGTCCGTAGATGAAAGCTGAAAATGTTATATTATTTTGTGAATTACAGTAAATCAATCTTAATTTTGAGTTCATAAATTATGTTCTATTATCAACACCTGAACGCACTTTAAATATAATCGCCACTACACAAATTCCATCACTCTGTTCCATAGCTTCTTGCAGTGACGTATAAGCTTGGTTTATGTAAACACAATGCATCTCAAGAGGTCCACTGAAATTGGATTATAAACTTTACCCTCACAATCAGAGGTAAGAGAAAATTAATTGTCAAATTACAAAACTCCGTCAATGGAATGGTCGCTGCCTTCCGCGTCAACTGCTGCCCAGTGAAAGTGTGTATTCAAATGGCTGTATCTTTTGTCGCTCAGTGGTCCACCAGAAATGTAGGGCCGTACATCAGTGCGAGTGTACAACACATCAACTAGGCAGAAAGGTGATCTTGGTCAGGGAAACGAGTGTTTCAATCTTAAGCATCCATACCTCTAACACCCGAGTTGGTCATTGTGAGTGGTCCTGAGTGGAAGAACCATTCAAGGTCACACTTGAATTCACCATTTGTGCATTTGGTCGTGTCTATATTAATTGGTGATTGACGAATTCCGGTGTCACAGACATCTAAATTTTAAAATTTTAGTGAATTTATTTATTTATTTTTTTTTTTTGGTTAGGTACTCGATTAAATTAATTCTAAGCTTAATTACCTTTCCCAGCTTGTCTAGGGTGAATAGTATTCATCAAATTTGCGTCAACATCTAAGCAAGCCTCTGCTAAATATGAGCGTGCCTGTGAGATAAAATATTGTTTGCAAAATGTTAGCAACAAAATTATTAAGGTGCCATACCAAAGTAATGATCAGCAGCAGAAACGCTTCAAACGCTCTGTTCATGATGACATGAGGTATTTTGATCTTAAAGTTTTATAAGTCTCCTCTTATATGTATTTTTACATTTTTGATAAGTGCTATGTTTAACAAAACGCATCTGTTTGCATTAAAAATTTTAAATAGAGACTTCCAAAATAAGTTATCACAAAAATGTTTTCACACGTGTGTCTAACTGTTGAGATATCAACCAAATTGCACAGTCGGTTATGAAGGCAAATTTATTCTTGCGGACCCCATCTTGCACTTTATTATTAAAATTTTGTACACAGCAAATTTGTTTCGAAAGGTTTAAAACCATTTTTTTATCGAAGGAAACAATATGGAATTTCAGCAATTAAATTAATTTCATTTCAAAAATTTTAAAGAGTTTTTTTATTTTATGACTTTAACCAATTTTCAGCGTCATAGAGTGGCTCCCAAACTCACAATATGCTGACATGCCGTCGTAATAATAATTGATGCTTGATTTTATGAATAAAGATTAACCAAAACTGCACCACAGCTTTTGGAATGCTGGAAAGGGCTCTCCTAATTTAAAATGGCAAATTTCATACTCACAGAAGATGTTATGCTCTATTAAAAACTAATTAAACATGTATTCTTTATATTATCAACAAAAATATTTTATTTACACTAATTTAATTTTTTTTATTTAGGAATTTTTTATCGGCATTAGATCACATTAGATAAAGATATACGCTGAAAAGTGTGTTTACGTCTATTGAAAACAAGATGTTATGTATTGCTCAAGCATACTATCAAATTATTTGCAATAAATATTGACGCATGCATACCATAAAGAAATAGATATTTTATATTATACACAAAATTGCGCAAAATTGTCTAATGAATCGCATAATATATACTTCCCAAAATAATAATAAACTAAATAAAATTATTTGAAACTAAAATTTAAAATTATAAAAATATTTCACAAGTCAATTGAGGCACACACTGTGGTGAGTGGGAATTTTTTATCTTGGAAGCACTTGGAAATTTTAGCAAAATTCTTGCTCTTCCATTTTTTCCAAGATATTCAATGTTTCCCTCTATTATTTTCATTAATTGTAGTTTTTTTGTAACTATTGGTCAAAACAAAAAACATTATAATAACAATAAAATTATATATATTGATTTTTTTTAGTGAGAATCAGAATGCATAATTCAAATTATATATTTTTATTTCAGTAAAAGGAAAAACTTGAACAAATATGCACATATTATTCCAAGAAAACGAAATCATAAACTCGTTCATATTAATGTTCTTGGAACGGAAATCATTCGGCATAAAACACGGAAGATGTGCGCGCCCCCACACTAGTCTTGCAGTTATGGACTGTGCGCGGCGATATGTTGAGGGTGTGCGAATCTGAGGGGCGCATGCCGAGTCCGCTTTTATCGCTTTGGCAGGCAGGAATCGGCGGTGGCGAGGGCGAAGATAGTATCGAGCGGGTGCGGAGAGAGGGTGCCTGCGATGCGATGCACCCGAGCGGCACCACCACCGGTTCTCCAGCGGCAGCAGCAGCAGCAGCGGGCAGCGTCTGCAGGAGCGGCAGTGCGGCGGGTCGCTGGCATGGCAAGATGACACCGACCAGGGTGCTGCTGGGCCTCCTGTGCTGCGTCGGACCCACCCTGCAGGTGCTGGTGGTCACCGCCGGCAGCCAGGAGCGCCAACCTGCCGCCTCCACCGAGCTCGTCCCGCCGACGCCGATCGTCCAGGACAACAGTTCAGGTCGGGGAATAATTCGTTTTCCTTATCTTTATCTAAAAAGAAGGTATGTGTTCGAATTGTGGCACTCCAATTGCTTTGAAATTGGTGCGCGAAATGCCAACTTGCCTGAGGTGTGAAGAGAACAAAAATATATATAAATATAAATTCCAAATATAAATTAATAAATCTAATTTACATTAAAAAGCAGGCCATAAAAGCGTCCTCCATTTACAACTCTAGTAATAGAATTCAAATTAAATGGAAATTAAATAGCAAATATATAAATAGGGAAAACCTTTGGCCGTTCCGGGGTACTAAAGGGTAGAAGAACAAACCGCATTTTCATCAAAATCGGAGTGCCTCGCTTCAAACACTTACCTTGTAAGGGAAGGTTTTCCAAAAGTGCCGTTTTAATTTTTAATGTTTTCCGACCCGCTTTTTTCCTTTTCTCTTCTTTCTATCAAATCAGGGAGGCACTCGGCGTGTGCGGATCCAATCAATCTTTCATGCGGCGTATAACCCTTAACCTTTGACATGCTTTGACTGAGCGCTCAATACTCTCAGCCTGGCTGTGTGTAAATGGTTTTTCCTGCTGCTGCCACGGCTTTTGTGGTTGCAAATGCGGCCGGGTTTTAAAAGCGCGACCCGTTTTGCGCGCACTTGTCTGTAAGCAAGAATAATAGAAATCTCGCCAAGAGATTTTCTGACTCAAGCCCAGATTTGCTGGTACGGACCAGCTGTTTCCAGCTCAAGCCGGCTCTTATATGCAGATTGTGAAATACACTCTTTCAAAATATATTTGAAAAAGAGATTTTCTTCAGATGGTCGTGAAAAAGTGTTAAGCTAGAATTTTCTTATATATTATACAATTTTATTAAGTTAAAGTGTGTGAGAAGAAGTATCATTTTATCAAACATTTTGTAATTATTTCTTCTGGAGTGCATTTTAAATTTATTTATGGAATTCACTGCATACATTATTAATCTCCACATTTTTATTTTGTTAAAAATCATTGTTTTCAGTCAAATCTTTATTCATTGTAAGAATTAGAAAAAAAAATTATTTTAAAACAAAAAAAAATTTCTAATGTGTATTTTAAAAGAAACTGGTACACATGCGAAGGCATGACAATGCAAAAAAAAGGCTTTTCTATGTGGTATGGCTCATTAGTGTTCCTAGCTCCTCAGCAACTAGTTTTGGCTAACGTTGGCAGTGGAGCTCAAATGGCATTAATAACAAAGTAAGACTGCAGAAGAACGCCAACTAAAAGAAAAAACTGGAAAAAAAAATGTCAAACTAATTGTGTTGGCAAAAAAAAAAATGAACATTTTTAGTTTAAAAGTATTTTAACAGATTTCACATTACACCACTTCGTTTTTTGGCTACTTTTTTCCCTTGTATAATTATATGACATAAAATGAAAAATTAGTTTTTAAAATATTAATTCATAACTATGTATAAATTTGAAAAAGGGAAAGAGATAAAGTGTATTAATTTATTCAATGGTGCTCAACGATATTTTTTTTTCAATTACGTAAACAGAGCTAAATTCATCAAAATTAAAGCCAACATTGTTTGCTTAAATCTTCTCATCGATTCAGTAACATTATTACTAATATTATATTAGAGAAATAGTTGACATTTGTATGATTTGTAATGTCCATAATATTATATTTATCGAGACGAAAATTTAATATGTAAGAGCTGTTGATTACTTCTTTTAATTTTTTAATTTGCCCATTTTTCACCTCTTTTGATTTTTGAATTATTGTTGTAACTATGTGTTGAAAGCATTTCAAGTTCATTCAACTTCAAAAAATCTGCCTCCACACTTTTTTAAAAGGCAGCATAGCGAATTGTAATTAATTTCCCTGTGAAAAAGAAGCTCACGTTTTCCGGTTTAAAAACTCGTTTTCAGAAGGTGAAGTGCCTTCGTTTCTACATTATCATCTGGGTGTCACCGCCCGTTTTACGTTTTTCTGTTTGAGAGATAAAGTCCCTCTCGTATTTTCCTCTTTCTTGCAAAGTGTCTAACGAAACATGGCTGTGTTCTGAAGGTGGCCATTTTTGATAATTTTTCATTCTTCTTTTGAGCAATTTTAGTTTCAAAACTCCATCAGAAATCCGGCAATGTACATAAATGAAATAATAAGGCCGCGTTTCATCATTTTTCATACTTTTTCTCTGCAGTATAAAAACTAAAAACACACGTCGGTAACAAAATAAACATCCGCGAGATGAGATTCTCTGCATGCTTCACTAGAGCAGCCTCAGTGGAGTTTTCCGTACATACAAAATGAATCTGGAGCGTGGATAATGAACAACAAAGCCCTCCGCTAGTATGTACCCTTCTTAAACTGCCTGTTCACGCTTGAAAGAGTTACAAAGAGACGTACAAGTCTCATTCTTATACACAATTGGTAAGTCTCGATTTGCAAGTCGGATGAGTTCGGTGTAATTTGAAATGAAAGTATTACAGAATCTAATTTAACGTGTTTATTTCTTTGCACCGTTTTCTTGCTTTGTTTAAATTTATCCGCCTGGAAATGTCAAGAGTCGCAAAGTTTTCTAGTTGCGCTACCTTTTCTTTGCAACGCAGAACTTCTTGAATTGAGGAGGAAAGTGATTTTAAACTTCAAAAGATCTGGATCAAAGTAGAAACGAGAAAAAGAGAATTAATTTGTTAAGAATTTTAAAATGAAACACGGATTTAGCCTTCAAATATTAAGGGAGATTCAACCAGGCTGGAGCTATTTTTGCGGTCAGCATGTGGCATAAAGATATTAGAAGGTGGTTTGGTCAATTCAATTCAACGTCGATGCTTCTCCTAGTTCTAATATTGACCATTTTGAACAAACGTTCTTTAGTAAATAAGCAATTTTTTCCTAGCCAAAACAAAAATGTTAGAGCAACAGGATTTAACGATGATCAATGTATTCTGAGTGATATTTTTAAATTTAAATAATAAAAAAATGTACTTAAAGGATGCAAACAAATTTTCAATCTATACTAACAAAATTTTAATCTTGAATAGTCTCTTAGTTAGATCACCTAGTGTATTATTTATTGATGATACAAAGAAAATACTAAAAATATCGGGCAAATTAATTTTTCTCCTGTTTCTAATAATTGATATTTAAAAGTTCCATTATTTAATTATACATTATTATATTTATCATTTTTTTCATAGATTTTCAGTTCAAAATTAGAATTTTGCCACTTTTACTGAATTTGAGACCAGCTAAAATTCTCATTAAGTTAAACACAAAATACTTCCTTTTATTTGCCTGTGTATATTTTATTTATTTTGTTTTCACTTGCCATGCTAGGAAGATAATTTTTATTGTATGAAAGGGGAACTTTTTTTCTAGAAAAAAACTTTATTTTTATCGCCACCAGCACGTGTCCTGTCCTAACAATGAGCAATTACATATGTATAATATCTTATCTTATCTCACCCAGTAAATTAAGTTAATTCATTTTGATTTTTCCACACCTAAATTTCTTCAAAGAGGTAAATGAGGGTAATTATCGCTTTCACAGTATTAAACAGCAATATCAGATGGTAAAAAAGTCGTTTGCAAGCTTGTTGGGCCACTAAGGACGAAGTGCTTTTCGATAAAACAAAAGTCAAACACTACACCATGATCAAAGAGGCGATTTTTTCGCGCAAGAAAATTCGCGACCTTAATTTGAATTAGCGTGTGGGCTTAAAACAACCACGAGGGATGAAAAAGGGGCAAAAGAGGGTCTTGAGAAAACGAGAGAGACAAAGAGCGGGGCTGGAGTGAGTGAGTGCGGTCTGGAGTGGAAAAGCAGTTTTCCACACCGGGCCGAGCGCGCGCTGATCGATATCGCGCGAGAATTTTTCTCTCGCGCTGCAGCCGCCGGGCTGCTTTTAATTCGCGAGTGGCTTTTGCTGATATGCAGTCGAACACGACACTCTGTGCATCACGTCCGGGCAATTAGCGTGGGCTTTGCATACTTATGATACTGCAGCGACGCCGTCTGTTATTAATTTAGATGCCGCCGGCAGGGCAGACGATTTTGCGGCAGAACACGCCCTAATTACACACACACTCGCCACGGCATTGCATCAAATGTGACCGGCCAATTAAACGCCTTGTAACGTGAATTGGGTGCAATTTAGTACACAGTGAGGATGACCCTTTTGTTATAATGACAAATTATTCTCAACTAATTAATTTGTAGAAATAAAATCTGGCTTCCTCATCATCAAAAAATGATCACCTCGAGTGCCAAAAGGCTCCCCAACAACAACTTCAAGAACCTATATAGAAAATTAATTTGTGTTCTGACCATTTTAAAGAAAAAAGATATTGAATTCTTAAAAAATTGAAATATTTAAACGCGATATTTCATAATTTTTTTTCTACATACATTTCAATAACTCTAATTTTCCCACATGAAAATGAAAAAAAGTAAATTAATTTTTCACAAGCAAACTTCATTTATTGAATCATTTTGTGTTAAGTTTTGAATACATAGAAAGTACTAATTAAATCATAAGTAAATTTAAAATCTGCCTTCCCCAATTCTGTTGTCAATATTTGGATTTTTTTTAACATTAAAAATTATGTTTTCTGCCCCTCTTTGAAAATTATTTTTTCATTTATTTGCAACTGAAATGTAATTCACTGTGAAAACTAAATTCTCCCATTTTAATATAGTTTTTTTTTTTAACATTATAAACAACTTAATTACCCATTTTAACTACAATTATTTTAAGTGAATAACTTTCCAACAACAAACCCCTTTTTTTTAAGAAAAACCTTCACCGCAGAGACAAAAATGCTCATTTCCTTTTCCATATCTCACTAAGAAATTAGGGCGCCGTTGTGTATGCCTCACACGTGTACGCTTTTTAAAAAAGCAGAAAACACGGAATGCACGTCACCGAGTTCTTTTATAATTACAGAACTTATCAGTGAAAAATGTTTTGATTGCGCTGCGACGTTGGAAAGAAAATGCTTTATGAGCATCATTCCAAAGCGATATAT